CCCCCTCTCCCCCTCCCCCGTCACGCAGTGCTGTGCTTACATCATTTCCCATTTCCTTTCTCCTCCGTGACAGCTTTCAGAATTTTGAAATGGTGTTTGGGTAGGCAGTTCTTGGTGCCCCTCTGTGAGCAAGGTGTCTGCATCCAGTAGTCACCCTTCTTCTATATTAAATTTAGGCATGTCTTGGGGAAGGATTCAGGGGCAGAGAATGCTAAAGTTGTCCCAGGCTGCCATGTGGCTGCTGCCTTCTCTTTTACTCCGGATTCCGGATGTGCACTCACACACAGAGGGTCACGTACATGACTCGGCTTCCCAGGCCTGGGCTCACAGTAACAGTGTAAGAGGCTGAGCGCCGGTGGCTCACGCCTGTCATCCTAGCTACACAAGAGGCTGAGATCTGAGGATCACAGTTTAAAGCCAGCATAGGCAGGAAAGTCCATGAGGCTCTTATCTCAGATTGTGTACCCCAAAAAGCCAGAAATGTAGCTGTGACTCTAGTGGCATAATGATACCCTTGAACAGAAAAGCTCAAGGACAGTGCCCAGGCCCTCAGCTCAAGCCCTGGGACTAGCACAAAAATTCATTCCTTCACTAAGGCAAATGTTAATATAATGCTTCCATTTCAACCAGGGAAAGACTTCAGGAGTCTGATGTGTTCTGTATATGAACACACATAGAAATGATGGAGAAAAAGGCCTTAAAATTTCTTAGTCCAAGAATAAAGTAAGGAAGAATTCTTTTTTTTTTTTTTTTTTTTGGTCGTGGGGCTTGAACTCTGGGTCTAGGCACTGTCCCTGCACTCTTCAGCTCAAGGCAAACGCTTTACCGCTTGAGCCACAGCACCACTTCTGATTTTCTAGTGGTTTATTGGAGATAAGAGTCTCACATGGACTTTCCTGCCAGGGCTGGCTTTGAACCATGATCCTCAGATCTCAGCCTCCTGAGTAGCTAGGATTACAGGCATGAGCCACCGGTGCCCAGTTTCTTTTGTATGGGTGTGGATTGGGGCGGGGGGGTCATGGGGCCTGGGCGCTGTCCCTCAGTTCTTTAGCTCAAGGGGAGCACTCTACCACTTGAGCCACAGCGCCACTTCCGGTTTTCTGACGGTTCATTGGAGATAAGAGTCCCATGGACTTTCCTTCTGGGCTGGCTTTGAACCATGAACCTCAGATCTCAGCCTCCCGAGTAGCTAGGATTACAGGCGTGAGTCATCGGCACCCGGCATGCTTGTTGGTCATGATTCAGTCAGAGGGTTTCTTGTTCAGGTGTGGGGTATGTGGAGCAGACAAGGAAGAGAAGGGGGTGACCCACTGAGAAATATGAGGTGAATACCTGGGTGGGACCCCCGCCTCCCTGAGGTTCAGTCCTCGAGGCGCTATCCTCAGGGGTTCGGTGCCTTTGCATGGTGCTTCCTCATCATCCCTCTACCATTTGAATCACGGCTCCGTGTCCAGCTGTTTTGTTTTTTTGTAACTTATTGGAGATAAGAATCTCACAGACTTTCTTGCCCAGGCTGACTTCAAACCACGATCCTCAGATCTCAGCCTCCTTGAGTAGCTAGGATTACAGGCTTGTGCCACCAGCTGTTACTGCTCTATTAGAACCAGTCTCTTCTTTTGAGCAGGATCTGGAGGTTACGCTGACAATAACATTGGAGCCATTTCAACCACGGGGCATGGAGAAAGCATCCTGAAGGTGAATCTGGCAAGACTCGCTCTCTTCCACGTAGAACAAGGTACATACAGCAGGGAACACATTCATGAATGGTGACCGTGAGTTTGTAAAAGAAATGTCAGGGGGCTGGGAAGGTGGCTCAGTGGTAGAGCGCTTGCCTCGCATGCTTGAGGCCCTGGGTTCCATTCGTCAGCACCACATAAGCAAAAAATAAAAAGCCAGAAGTGGCGCTGTGACTCAAGAGGTAGAGCGCTAGCCTTGAGCTGAAGAGCTGAGGGACAGCGCCCAGGCCCAGAGTTCAGGCCCCATGACAGGACCAAAAAAAAAAAAAAAAATTTCAGCCATGCTCCTGTGTCTCATGCCCGCAATCCTAGCTACTGAGCAGGCTGAGATCTGAGAATTGTAATTTGAAGCCATCCAGACTGGAAAGTCCATGAGACTCTTATCTCTAATGAATCACCAAAAAGACAGAAGTGGAGCAGTGGCTCAAGTGGTAGAGCACATCCTTGAGCAGAAAAGCTAAGAGACAGCACCCAGGCTCTGAGTTTAAGCCTCGGAATCAGGATAGATGGAGAGAGAGAGAGAGAGAGAGGAGGGAGGGAGAAAGAGAGAGCGAGAGAGGAGGAGGAGAGAGAGAAATAGAGCCTATCAGCATCTCTAAAGGATGCTTCTATCAGATTTGAGTATTATTTTTCCTTTCCTTGTTTTTTTTTCTTCTTGCTGGTCCTGGACGCTGTCTCTGAGCTTCTTTTGCTCATGGCTAGCACTCTACCACTACCATGAGTCACATCACCACTTCTGGCTTTTTCTGTGTATTTGGTACTGAGGAATTGAACCCAGGGTTTCATGCATGCTAGGGAAGCACTCTACCACCAAGCCACCTTCCCAGCCCCTCCCTGAGCCTTTTTTTAAAGCTCAAGGCTAGAGCACTACAGCCTGAGCCACAGCTGCATGTCTGGAGCCTTGTTGGTAGTTTATTGGCTATTAGAGTCTCACAGACTTCCCTGCCTGGGCTGGCCTCTAACCTTGATCCTCAGATCTCAGCCTCCTGAGTAGCTAGGATCCCAGGCATGAACCACCAGGGCCCAGCTCCATTCCTCCTTCCTTTCTGTTCAGGAAAGTCAGTGGAGCAGGCTGCTGACCTGTCACTGGAGTACATGAAGTCGAGAGTGAAAGGCTTAGGTGGCCTCATCATGATCACCAAAACAGGAGAATGGACAGCCAGATGGACCTCCACCTCCATGCCCTGGGCAGCCGCACAGGATGGCAAGGTGTACGCCGGCATCGACCTTAACGAGACCACCATCACAGACATGTGCTCTTGAAGACCAGGTTGTAGGTGCTAGCTCGGAGGTGAAGCTCAGCTGCGCAGTGTGGAGATGTAGCTTGATCAATTAGAAGTAGACATGGAAACCTCACGTATTCTGTCCCTCCTTTTGTTGCCTGGGTCAATAGCATCTGGGGGGCGGGCGCCTCTAGAGTGCAAGAGGCCTTTCCTGAGCAATCTCTATTGTGTATGGCTAGAAAGAGAGCCCGCGATCACTGGCGACCCCACAGAACTGGCGCAGGGCAGTGAGGGTCTTCAGGGTTGGGCACGCCCCCACGCTCACAGAGGCCAGTCCTGGGAAGGCGGGCAGGGCAAGGGCCTAGGAACGGGGACCGCGTCCGGGAGCCACCGTGGCAGAGCTGCTGAGCCAGGCCCAGGTGGATGGCAAAAGATTAAAGACTTCGTTGTTGACCACTTGGCAAAAGAACGCAACACCTTAAAGGGAGACGCTTTTCATCTAACAAGGCTTTTTCTCTTAACAAAGCCCAGCTCCTCTCTGAGTGAATAATACAGACGTGTGTCCAGATCCTTGAAGAGGACCCGTTAGCTCCCCAATCTAGAGATGAGGGGTCATAAGGGATGGAATTTCAAGACCGAGGGTCTTCCTGGTAGTCAGGCGAGCCCCCTCACCCAGTGTTCCCCCACGGGATGAGTTGAGGACCTCTCTGGCTTCTCCCAGAAGCAGGGAGAGACTGACACCACGGCTCACTAAGACCCAGGCTGCCAGCCAGCGCTATGGGGTGAGCCCTCATTCATGGAAGGTTAGCCTGGTTGTCATGGCAACGCCATTTCCTTGGCAGGGTGTCTTCCTGTCCATGTCTCCCTGCACTGGACATGGTATTTCTGCTGTGACATTTGACATAGCTACTCAAGTTTTGTTTCAGATTTTTTTTTCTTTAGTGTATCAGGGTTTACCTTTTCTCTGAAAGGCAATTGCTTAACTTCCAATTCCACATGCCACTAAATAAAATGTATTTTGAAAGAATAACAGCGTGGTTAGGTGTCACTGTTGACAGAAAGACCCAGAAGAGACAAAACCTCTCACGCCCTGGTCCCCCATTTCAGGCAGGTGTTGGAGATAAGGGGTCTCTTCTGGCTGAGGGGGCCATGGAGACAGGACAGTCAGGAATTTTTCAGAACAGGACTTTTTCAGTTTTTGCATGGGTTAAGGAAAAACGAAACCCACCATTTGGCAGTACCAACACGGCTTGTGGCTCAGGGCTCCTGCAGGTTGCCAGTGGTCGCTCCTGACTCACACAGTTATCGCTCTTGACTCCATATCCTGTTTCCCATCTCTGACACCTGAAGTCAGGGCTGAGCTCCAAAACTACTTATCCCATTCACTGGGGGACCCTGGGTACGTTCACTTTGAAGAATTTGAAAGTTATGTACTACTCAAGATTAAACAAGCCAGGCACTGGTGACTCACACCTGTAATCCTAGCTACTCAGGAGGCTGAGATCTGAGGATCACTGTTCAAAGCCAGCCCAGGCAGGAAAGTCTGTGAGACTCTTATCTCTAATAAATGACTCAGAAAAATCTGGAAGTAGAGCTGTGGTTCAGTGGTAGAGCGCTAGCCTTGAATATAAAAGAAGCTCAGGGACAGCACCCAGGCCCTGAAGTCAAGCTCCATATAACTGAAGCCAGGTGCCAGTGGCTCACACGTGTAATCCTATCTACTCAAGAGGCTGAGATCTGAGGATTGTGGTTTAAAGATCTAAAGATGAAGCTTCAAAGCCAGCCCAGAGGTTGGAGGCATGGCTCAGATCACAGAGCACCAGCCAATGAGGGAAAGCAAGAATCAGTTCCAGGCTTCAATAACAGCAAAGGCAGCCCAGGCAAGAAAGTGTGTAAAACTCTTACTGCTAATTAATTACCAAAAAGCCAGGGGTTGAGCAGGGCTCATCTGGTACAGCACCAGCCTTGAGTTAAAAAAAAAAAAAAAAGCTTAGGGACAACATCTAGGCCCTGAGTTCAAGCCCAGAAAAATTTTGGGCACAAAAAGAAAAGAAAAGAAACTGAAGGAAAACTGTCCAGTAGTGTACCTTAAGGTTCCAATGGACAAATCTAGAAACTGTGGTCAGGCCTAGGAGGGAGCTGATATGTTTGTAAATATTGAAAAACCTCAGCATACAGTAACAGCTTGTTTGGAATTACTTGGTTAGATGCTATATTAATTAATCTGCTAAGGCTTCCACAATAAAATCGCACAGACTGAGTGGCTTTAACCAACAGAAACATATTTTCTCAGTGCTGGAGACTGAAAGTCCAAGATCAAAGTGTCAACAGGTCTACTTTCTCCTGTACCTCTCCCCTACAGATGGCTGTCTTTTTTCTTTCTTTCCTTCTTCAAACTCACTAGGTACCTCAGGCTGCCCTTGAACTCACAACCCTCCTGCCTCAGTTTCCCAAGTGCTGAGATTACAGACACGTGCCACCACGCTCAGCTTAGATGGCTATCTTCTCATCGTAAGTATCTTCGCATGGCCTTTTCTTAGAGCATGCACAGACCTCTTCTTACACAGACACTGGACTAAGACTCAACCTCCTCATTTTAACTTCAAGGGCCCTGTCCCCTGAAGAACTGGAGGGTTGGAACTTTGATTAAGAGGTGAATTTAAGAGGTGACAAGAAGCAAAACAAAGTCAAGTTAGGAATTGGAGATGATACCTATCACCAGGTACCTGAGAAGAAAGGGAAGAGGGGGGCTGGGAAGGTGGCTCAGTGGTAGAGCGCTTGCCTTGCATGCCTGAGGCCCTGGGTTCGATTCCTCAGCACCACATAAGCAAAATGAAAAAAGCCGGAAGTGGCGCTGTGGCTCAAGTGGTAGAGCGCTAGCCTTGAGCTGAAGAGCTGAGGGACAGCGCCCAGGCCCAGAGTTCAGGCCCCACGACCGGACCCCCCCCCAAAAAAAAGAAAGGGAAGAGGTGAGGGGGCCCCAAGCCATGGAAGAGAAACCCGAGAACGGTCTAACTTTGGGCTTATCATTTGTGTGATTCACACATGCGGTGACCCCAGCTAAGGACTGCTAGCGAGAGGCTCAGCTGTGGCCACCTGACCTCGCTGGCTGAGCAACTACAGTATTGAGGTACCCTATGGTCAACCCCTTAGTCAAGGCCAAGATACATGTGTTTGTCCCTGTGGTTCTTGTTGTTTTTGCCCCACATTGTCCAGTGGCTTTCTCCATTTCAAATACATGAACAAGATCCTGCCCGGGAGCGGAGGACAATCGGCTCCATCACCTCTCCGCCACAAGAGGGCAGCAAACGACAGCACATCCTCAGGTTTCAGAGGCCCAGGGGAGGTCATTTATCTTGTTCAGGATCAGAACAGCCTGCCCTGAACATTTGGAACCAACAGAAGATTCCGATCCCAACCTTCCTTTTCATCAAAACACTACAATCTGTTTGAGACTTGTCCAAAAAACAATAAAATAAAAAAAATTAGCAATGTGCCCACTGACCCCTCCAAAATCAGCAGTTAACACCACTTCCAAGGTGACCAAGGTCAGGGTGCACACCCCACCTCCAGCTACTGCTTCCAGCCAGGAAGATAGGTCAGTCACCACTTGGACACCATCCCCAAAAGGGAGAGGAGAATGAGCCCAGAGCCCAAGGCAAGTGCCCACCAAGCAGGAGACCGTGGAGCCAGCCCTCTGCTGAGCTGGAGGGAAGTCCTGCCTACGGAAAGGGGTCAGGATTGCAGCTTGTCACTCAGAAGCCTTTCTCCATGATTGTCCTTCCTCGCTCGTTCCTTTCTAGATAGAACTCATCTAGGGAGCCGGATACCAGTAGCTCACACCTGTAATCCTAGCTACTCTGGAGGTTCACAGTTTGAAGCCATCTCAAACAGGAAAATCTGTGAGACCCTTATCTCCAATTAACCACCAAAAAGCCAGAAGTGGTGGTTTGGCTCAAGTGGTAGAATACCAGCCTTGAGCAAAAAGCTAAGGTCCCCAAGTTCAAGGCCCAGTACCAACACAAAATATTATCTAGGGATGTGGAGCAGATCTGCTTCAGGCTTGTCATGAGAAATGACAGGTGAGGGAAAGGTGGTCGGAGACATTGACTCCACCCCACACCGTCTCCTCGGGAGGCCTCCATCTTTGCACACAGTCTTCATTACATTTGGCTTTTCTCTCTGTTAAGAGAACAAGGAACACTGCCAGTAGAGAGACGTGCACGGTGTCTCTCCCCTCTCGGGGAGGGAGGCCAGACCCAGAGAGGAAGTGGGGGCCAGGCCACAGGATCAAGAAAGGGACTCGAAACCCGGGTGGAGTCCGGACAGTATGGTCTGGGCCTTATCAGAGACTTCATTATAAAAACTAATAAGTGGTTGGGAATGTGGCTCAGTGGTAGAGTGATTGCATAGCATGCATAAGCCCTGGGTTCCATTCCCCAGAACCACATACACAGAAAAAGCCAGAAGTGGCACTGTGGCTGAAGTGCTAGCCTTGTGCAAAAGAAGCTCAGGGACAGTGCTCAGGCCCTGAGTTCAAGCTCCAGGACTGGCACACACAACACACACAAAAGGTGGGGGGGGGGGCGCAGAACCCTGTGTCTCACCCTTGTGATCCTAACTACTCAGGAGGCCAAAATCTGTGAATCCTAGTTCAAAGCCAGCCTGGGCAGGAAAATCCATGAGTCTCTTAGTTCCAATGAATTAGCCAAAAGAAGTGGCTCAAGTGATAGAACAGACTACTCCAGCTTTGAGTGAAAAAGCCAAGCGAAGGCTCCAGGCCCTGGAGTTTAAACCCCAGAACCCGCACAGAAATAAGAAGGAAAGCAAAAACTAGGTTTGGAAAGGGAAATGTGGGTTGTGCCAAAGCAGATGGGGCTCCACCCAGAGTTTGGCAAAGGGTGAGCGGGAGGGAGAGCCCATAGGATTGCACTCACCCTCAGCAGCTACCAAGAAAGGACTGGGCACCCCAGGTCACCTGCCCCAGCTCCCCTCCCCTTCAACCTCTCCCAGGACCTGTGCCCCAACACAATAGCTCCGGTCCTCCTCCCCCCCCCCACCCCCCAGTGCTGAGGCAGTTTTTCAGAAGTATTTACCAATCAAGGGTGAAACTGGCCACTGGCACCAAATCCA